GGCGGGGGTGGGGGTGAGTTCCTTGGCACATTCACTGGGTCGATTCTCTTTCTTAGCTTACTGGGAAGGAAAACCAAGGATTCTGCCCGATCCTTTGCCACGAGAGGGATGTATCAGGTCCGCCCTTGACGGGGCTGTGGACGGGGGGACGAGGGGCGACAGCCTGCCCACCGACCGGGGAGGCTCACAGCAATCCTATTACAACACCCTTCGTCCTCTGTCCCCTGGGCCGTCCTGCAAGATCTTGGCGATGTTTGCTAAGCTGCATTTTATTGAATATGGTTATTTCCCCAGAGGACTTCCGTTCAGAACGATACCCATGATTTCACCTTCTGGGGGCCAGAACAGTTTCCTAGGAAGAAATATCTCGCTCCTCTTTCCCAAGGAATGAAGCCGAGGTTCCCCCAGGCCTCCAGACTCTAGGGTTTGGGTTAGCAGGCCATCAGGGTGTGCTCGGTCGCCCCATTTTGTGGCCTTATCTCTTCTTGTTATTCTTGCTGGTTTAATAGTCTGTTTCTAAGCTCCACAAAGAGAGGATGAGGTCCGCCTCGAGGAGGAGGTCCGTCTTGCTCACTGCTCTATCCCTAGCTCCCAGCATGGTGTCTGGCCCCAAGAAGGTTCCTGATAATTCCTCCTCGAATGAGTGCACGGGTGCCGCTCCTCACAGGGTCAGCGTGACACTGGCTTCACCACACCTGGGAAGCTGGCCCTCCATCCGCTGAGCTCCCAGCAGGAAAGGGGTTTCGAGATGACGAATGTTCGTGTAGACAAGCCGGAGTCAACCTCTCACCCTGAGTTCTGTTTTGCAATCGACAAAGGGCAAAGGCGGGGGTGGGGGGGTGTCTCTTGCAAATATCTGTCAGGAGCCAAGAATTTGAACTTGCTACCCTGGCTGCTACAGTCATGTGGCTTCTTTCCCAGACATCGTGATACATCTGTATCCCAAGTTACTTCTGCTGAATTCAGTACCCATGTGTCATCGCTCGACGTGGGCCGGCTACTAGAGCATGCCTTATAATACCGAGGTTAGGTCCTGGGAGCGATCACGAGTCCTGTATATGCAGTGGCATCATTTAGCCCATCGCCTCGGGTGTGGGGTCCAGCTCTGAGCACCCTCCACCCCGCCCCCAGCCTCCCCAGTCGCGGGAGCTCACCACTGAGAGGGTGGGGGACGGTGAACTGCTTCTTGTTGGCACGGACCGGAAGCAGGGCCTGCTTCTGCGCCAGGTTCTCCTTCCGCTGGGCCCGCCTCTGCTGTGCCATGTGCTCCAGCTTCTTCAGCCGTTCTCGCGAGCGGGAAATGAAGCGAGGGTTGCGGACTTCCAGCGCTTCCTGACCGGAGCAAAGGAAATATTTTAGTTTAAAGAGAAGGGACACGGAGAGGCGGCACATCCGTCTGACTTGGTCGAGACACCAATCGAAAGCATGACACTCAGAGACTAGGAGCCACAGTGTGTGGGCGCATGGCCGCTTTCTTCCACCGCCTCATGCGAAGGTCGCCACGGGTCTGTCGATGACGTGGGGCCTGGCAGTCCGTCCTGGCCAGCACCAAGGTCCCCACCGCCACATGACAGACTAGCAACCAGTGTCAGGTTAGGAGCGCAAAGGCACACCTCCACCCGTCCCGTCCCCTCAGAATGCCCTAAATCCCATATTGCAAAGAGGCGCAAGTGGGCAGGGGATGGACGCATCACGAGCCACCTGCTTCGGCTGCGCTGGGAGCCTTAACGAGCACAGACCGGATTGTCCGCGCCATGAAATACGCGCCTTTTCAGGAAAAACAGTGATCACGCCCAACAGGAGCGACGCCTCCTCCCAGATAGAAGGAGGTGGTGGAACACCTTGCCTACGCAAAGTGGCTCTGCAGGCTCCACGCGGGAAGCCGGGACGCCACGCCTGCACCTCGGCCCGGGCCTCACTGCACTCCGCACTCTGTGCTCTAAGTCACCCGCCCGCAAAGGCCCGCTGAAAAACAATGGCCACCGACGCACTCGGCTCTGTGCCGGACACGGGGCCGGGCGCGCTGTGTTTGCTGTCTCTGGGGACCCCACCTCGATTCTTGAAGGTGGATCTGCTGATGCAAAACCTGAGGCCCATGGCAGTTTGCTGGATCACAGGGTGGCCCTCGGCTGTGGGAGTCCCACGCTTTTCCCACGCTGACTTTCATCGTCTCAACTTACTATTCCTTGAAAACATCCGTTCAAGGGGTCCCCCTGCCTGGGGAACCGTCCCGGCCACACCCATCGAGTCAGGTCTCAGCTCTCCCAGGAAGCTCTGTGGGGTCTCCCGTTCAGCCTGAGCATCGTGGTACCTCAAGGACCATCTTGTGCAGGAGCGACCCACACATGTTCACCTCCATGCTGGACCGTGAGCTCCTGTGGGGCACGGGCCAGGTGTCACCCACGTCGCATCCCTCACGGCCAGTGCCCAAGCTAGGTGCTCAGCAAAGCCCCTCTGGAGGCGCCGCCCCATGACTCTCCCAGCCCCCGGGAGCTCAGAGTTCCCAGGCGACGGGGCTCCATCTGTGTCATGGACGAGCCCCCGACAGCTGTGCCAGAAAAGGAGTCTTCTTGGCCAGTTGGCCTCCATGGTGCCAGCTCTAGGTACCAGGCACAGTCCTGGGGCCTAGAGGGCTATTGCCTGGGAAGAGACTACTGGTCCAGGTGTGGCTAGTGCCTCTGTGGCCCGCTCTCAGGCTGGAGGCTGCTTTGAGGCCCCACGAGTCTCCCCCGGCCCCACCCCCACCCGCAGGGGACTAGGGGCTCCTGATGGAGCCACCTCCAGGCTCCTATGGCGGTTTACAGCATACCATGTGCCTTCTTGGAAGGCATGGCTGGCAGTCCACTATTAGCTAGGGCTTTCCGTGAGGTCGTTTGCCCTTCTAATTGTGATGCCTCTGTATTTTTTGAACTTTAAACAATGTGCACATATTACTTCTAGAAGCCGGAAAGGATGCCAAGCGAAAATGCCACATCCTCGGACCCCTCGCTGCGTGACTTTGGGCAACTTCCTCACTCTCTCAAGGGCTTAATGTCCTTATCTGAAGACGAGGTGGTAGGGACACCTGACTCAAAGGGGCTCCCTGAGAAGGGAAGGGGCCGATGCCTGAGAAGGGCCTTGCCCAACGTCTGGGCACCCATGACTCGTCATCGCTACGATCCTAGTCGCTGTGGATATCATGTGGCTCTCATTTTTGCCGGCGGAGTAGATACCACTGTCTCCATTACTCACACCGTGAAACAGGCCCAGAGGGGTTAGGGGACCTGCCCCGGGTCACACAACCACTGCGAAGGGGAGTCGGGTCTTCAGCCTCAGAAGCAAAGTGAAGTCATGTGACCCTGGGCTCCCCAGGCAAGGTCTCCCCTTACTGGGAATCAAACCTGGACGCGCAGAAGGCCTCACCTGCAAGGTCAAGGAGCTCGCAGGTGCTTGCCGGCCCTCGGAACAGGCTTCCGGCGGGGCGGGGGTCTCCGGATCCTCAGGGGCTGGCTCGGGCAGCACCGGCTCGGGCTCAGGCATGGCCGAGTCCTCACTCTGCTCGCATTCCTTTATTTTTACAACCAAGTCACAGCATGTGTGATCTCCTAGAAGAGAAGATTTAGAATCCCATTTAGAGGGCACCTAGTGACTTCGCCTGGCTCCTCGACACCATTAGACACAGAGGACAGCTCTGAAAATAGAAACGCCAGTGGGTTATTAACGGGCTTCGTTAAGCCATCGATATGATGCCTCATCACAGACACCACTCCCCGACTCCTGGCCACCCTGGTCACGGCGGGGGATGTCCGCAGGCAGCCAGACCTCACGAGCGGCTAATCGTGCCACGGAGGTATTCCCTCGGCTTCTGACGTTCGAGGCACCTCTGCTCGCAGTGAAAACGAACTTTCCTCTTCTGTGCTTACTGTGTCCTGTACAATGATTGCAGTTTGGTTGCTTGGGGACAGCGTATTAATCTATCTGAGGTTTGCTACATTAACGAGGGATGGCGTCCAATTATCTACCCTCCCCTCCTTGATTTGCAGAGGCCACCACCGGCTCCACATTCTTTATTGGAATTATCTTCCACTCAGCTCTGGATTTGGTCCTGGGGCCATTTTGACATTTCTCTGTGAAAAAGGTGTGTGTGGGGGGTGGGGGGGAGGCGAGTTGATTGGACAGCGCTCCAGATGGCGTGGCCTCCGGCTGTGGAAGGTGCCTTAATACATATTCGCTTACCAGGCCCGAACCAACTCCTCCGCCTGGGGCACACCGTTCAGTCTATTCCAGGCCATCTTCCTGCCTGAGCCCCCTGCCCGCCCCACCACAAGTCCCCACACACGGCCGCAGAACCTCCCCAGTCCCGAAACGCAGCAGGTGTCTCACGCCTGGCTCACAGGCTCTCCCGTTGCCACAAAACCACTTGATTCTTTCTCCCGGTCACCTCCTCCCTCCAGGCTGAGCCCCAACCCCTCAGGAAGCCGCCCTCCCCTCCCCAGGCAGGCTCCACCGTCCCCTCTGTGTGTCTGCAGAGGGACACGCTTCACACATTCAGCGCATCGGTTGCTCGGTCTTAACAGGATGCCGTAACCCCACAGCCTGGGACGCCCTTGAGGGCTGGACCACGTCCTGTTCACCTGGCATCTCGCTGCAGTGCCAGCCCAGGTGCCAGGTGCCCAGAAGGGGCTGCTTCTGTCGGGAGCAGAGAGGCGGTCATCTGGAGGCTGACCGGCCACAGCCCTGTGAACGTCCTGTCTGAACCCTCTGCTATGACCCCCACTTCCAGACGCGAATCCTCCGTGGTCTGGACCAGCTGTCCCATGTCCTATCTCTGCTCAAAGTCCATCACACCCCCTGCCACCTGCAAGCCCCACAGGAACACCGGACTTCCCCCGGCTTGTTGCGGTGGGTGTCCCAGGGCCAACGAACGCTTCTGATTCTCTACCGACAGCGCACTGCTCAGAAGACCCCACGTTGTTTCCTCTCATTCCTCCAGGCATTTTCTCCTGATCTACCCGGAGGAGCTCCCTGTTGCCCCCCATTCTTGCTTTAGGCACCCCCGCCCCGCTTGCATTCCCAGCCCCTCTACCTACCCCAAGCCCCCGCCAGCTGGAGTTAATGACACCTGCCGCCACGCGGGTTCCATTTCTTGTTACGAGCCTTTATTCTAGCTCCCCGTGTATGCAGGGAAACCGGTTCCCTTCCCCTCCCCCACCACCCAGCCATCACCAGACCCAGCAACCCAAGGGCCGTCCTGACGCGTCCATCTTCCATGGTGCTCACTATAACGCTCATCCATTGCATCTCAAAAGTGTCCTCTGCTGCGGTCCCCCACTCCGCAGTGACAAGGCCTGAGTGGTCTCTGGCTGGTAGCTCGGCTGTCAGTCCAAAGTCTGCTAGTGGGATTATACGACCCTCCCCCAGCTTGACCCCTAGAGCTTCAGACTCACGCAAGGCCCCTCCCCTGCTGTCCCGCACGCCGACCCCTTGGGCCTAAGCCGGCCGGGCTCGCTCCGCCAGCTCTTTGCTTTGTGTCTGTGCCTTTTCTTTGGTCCGCTGGGGTCTCCACGAGTTTGGGTCTGATTTTTAAAACTCTAGTCAGCTTTCGAATTCTCGTCCGAAATCACCTCCGTGAGGAAGCTGTCTCTGTCTGGAGCTGCCTCGGAGCGTCTGGGGTGTCCTCGGCTGCCTGGTAGCTCATCACGGACGTGTTTGTGATCCCGACAGTGTCTGCACTGGCCCAAGAGAGCCTGGAGGGCCAGGGCCCCCGAGCACAGTGCCTGGCACACATGATCAATGCTTCTTTCACGTATTAATGAAGAGCTAGGGATTGACCCAGGTTCCGAGTGACAGTGTTTTTGTCAATTACCATAAACATTTTAACTTTTATCACCCCAAATTCTACGATCTGATGTTTTCCTTTCTGTCCTTATTCACAGCACTTTGGAAAAATCCTTCGCGTAACAGAAAATCTACATTTTTCCCACTGACACTGCTGAGTACTACAGATATTTTTTCCTATTTTATTTTTCTGTCCTTTGCTGTTTCAGCCCTCACGGCGACATCGCTAGGGGTCAGCCACTTGGCCTTTCCGGCAATGATGGCCTGGCTTGAATCGTGGGTTCCCTCCTGTGTGAGAGGCTGGCACGGGGACCCACCTCAAGGGCACGGCGAGGGCCAGGGCACTCATGCTTGTTAAGTGCTGGGCACATGTCGGGGCCAGCAGCCACAGCCATCATCCCTGGTCGTCAACTACGGAGGATCACAGGCAGCCTGGTGGCCCTGCTGCCTTCAGAGCAGCCACCTCGGCATCTCGAACCTTCCCTAGCTAAGCCTGAGAGCCTGCCGTGCACCTGCCAGTCACCTTCTCAGCCTCTGGCGACACCGGCCTTGCACACGGCAGGGCTGGGAATCCTCGCCCCACGAGGGGCTGCCTTTCATTGCCTTTTTCATGCTCGAAAGGTAGAGGCCACCACGGAAACCTGCCGGCCCTGCTTCCTCTGCTGGCACAGTGGCGAAGGGGCAGCTTCACGAGGTGAGCGCGTGTGAATCGGGCCCAGGAAGACATGGTGCCGCATTCTGTCACGGAGGAGTCATTCCAGCCCTGCCTCCCTCGCTCCTTACCTCCGGGAGACGCGCCTCCTATCCGAACACCACTGTCCTCCTGTGGACGTGCGCGCGCATCTTGTAAAGGGCAAAGGAAGCCAGGTAAAGGGATGCCGGGTTCCAGAAAGCTCTGCCGTCGAGGCTCTGCGGGCTCAGCAAGGTCGTTGCTTGGAGAGCTCAGCCCAGCGGCAAGGGAATCTCCGAGCAGCTTCCATTCCATGGGGGGAGCAGACACGGTCATGCGTGCTTCTCGCTGCTTCTCGCTGCTTCCAGAAAATACTTTTGTTTCTACTAAAAATAAAATGAGAGTTGTGCTCAAGACCCCTGGCGAGCGCACGTCTCTCGTCCCGACTCCTGCACGCCACTCCTGGGGACAGGCAGGTGGCGACAGCACCGCCCGGTGGGGGACAGAGCCATCAGTGGCTGGCACGTGTGGCTCTCACAGCACTCGACAGGTGACCGTCATCCCCGAAGCGCCTTCCCCGAGACCACTTACAAGCTCCACGGTACTCGCTGCTCTCCTGCACTTGGCTCCAAAGAGAGTGTGTTTGCTGGTGCTCTCTAGGGACACAAGTGACCTTGACAATAGGCAATGGAGTCGAGCATATTGACTCTGGGGCCAGATACCCGGGTTCAAACCCTGTCTCCACCTTACAAGCTATCCGGTCTGTAAAATCAAGTCACTACGATAATGATAACGAAGTAATAATATTAAATAGTGCCTATTTTATTATTATTGTATTATCTACTTTTTATGATAAATGTCTATATGTTTATAATAAATATACACTTCATGTAACTGTATTTTATGTGACATTTATATTATTAACATATTAAATATGAATACCGATGTAATCGTATAATAATGATCTGTGTAAGGTGCTAAGTTAGCACAGTACCTGACACATGCCTAACACATAGTAACCATTTAATAAAGGCTAGTTATCCTTATTATTCCAGAAACATTGTTGCAGGCTTACGTACTATGGCAAGAACATTGTTGCAGGCTTAGTACTACGGGAGGTAATTTACGGGGTCACTCTGTGCACTTCTAATAAGGGTGTGGATCTAACATGTGGACAATGTGTTGCTTGTTGCCACATTGTAATATCAAAAGTCTGGAATCCACCGATGCCCATCCACGCTTTGCAGCGTGTAAAAAAAATAAGGCAGACATTCCTGTGTCCACATGGGACAATCTCTAAGATACATTATCACGTGAACAAAGCAAAATGCAGGACAGCATGTCGGGTCAGCTTCCCCCTTAAATGCTGCTATGCTCAGAATATCTCTGGAAGGACCCAGAAGTTGCCAGAAACAGCATCGCCTCGGAGGGGGACAAGGCAGGACAAGCGACGGGGAGCGGGAGAGAAACTTTCTTTGCCTCTTTTATACTCTTTGTTATTTCCGTTTTTTCGTTTGGAATACTCTCTCGATTTTAAGGAGTTATGCATTTTAAATAAGGCAGTGACTCTTTGCCAGGCCTCCTCTCCTACGTGGGTGGGACTGGCCCCAACTGGAAAGCCCTGTCACCCACAGGATGCGTCCAAACCTCCTCACGCGCTGGGGCAGAGTCACTCCTGGGGACTACTGGCATAATCAAGTCTCTTATTAGATTCACTACATTTTCGCAAATGCCTAACACACAAAAATGAAATGAGCCCATGACTTCTGGCTTTAATTTTAATAGTGGCCTCTCTTAAAATGTCTCGGCTGTCTGCAATTTGTTCTCACCCCTCTGTCCCCAAGTCCTGGTGTCCCTGACGAGGGGAACAGGCTGAGTGAGGTTTGGCGTGCAGGGCAGCAGGAAGAACGTGGCATCCAGATGGTCCTCTGTCCGAGCTTCTTGGCTGTGGGATCCGAGGCAGGCGAGTCAACAAGGTGTGAACCCAGCTTCCCATGTTCTTATAAACGGACAAACCAAACGCAGGTGAAGTATCTCCAGGTCCCGATGCGTGTACACAGAAAGTATCCGAAAAAAATGATGGCGTTATTCCCAATCTGCTACTCCCATTCTGGCGTGAGGCGTGAGGCGCTTCAGTCAATGTATTTACGTACAGACTTGTAGAGATCTGTCTATTTCTCTATCTCTATACCTACCTACCTATCAATTATCTATCTCTCTGCCTGAGTGAAGATTCTCGTGTGAACGAGTCTGTGCAAGTCAGAGGTTCCACTTGCGACTTGGAAGGGTTAAATCAGCTCCCAGGAAGTGGAATGTAGGTGGCCTGCGGGAGGAAAAGAATATGCAGCCAAAGAAGGACTTTTTTGACAAGTTACTGATCAGGACTCTTTTTGTAGCTTCTGAAAATACAGTGGTCAGCCATGAAATTGTCCTTAGGAGGGGCTTCTCCAGGCAAGGCAGCATGGCCTCACCCCGACACGCTCTGCATGCAGGGCGGACCCAGAGTTCTCTACTCACGCCCACATTTCAAACTCTATCGCCGCACGGAAGACCCGTTGCCACCACAGGCTTTGCCTGTATTAGATGGAACATGAACAAAGCCGCCTCCTCTGCTAGGCTTTCTGTTTCTTAGCCTGAAACTCGAAGCCTGGCTCCTGGAGGAGCTGGGCATTGCAGGTCTCCGTTGAAGAGTGACTGTCCCTCTACCCCCTTTTCTAAAACACACTAGCCTACGAGTTAGTATAGCTCCAAACCGACAAGAAGATCCTGCCGACCGTCATGAATTCCTTCTAGTAAGCTCCCACCTTTGACTCCGAGAACCCCTGGACCATAACACAGCGCCCATTTATGCTTTTCTCAAGCTCATTTTTATCGTGAAATGCATCATATCTATAATTTAAAGGTATTTAACAGAGCGCCCACTCACCCGCCCAGACTGAGACACGACAGTCCCTGAGTTTCAGATGTCACGTCTGAGCTTCCGGACACAACCGCTCACTTGAAGTTTGTGCTACTCGATCCATTGCTTTTGTCTATAATTGTCCCACGTAGGTCGGCATCTGTGAACAACCTACTTTCAAGACCGAAAATCTGAGTGGCAAGCCCAGAGCTAGCCATTTCAAGGGGAGGACATCATGGCTGTGAGACCGAAGCTTTCGAGAGAAACGAGTTCAGCAGACTGGCTGGGGCACAGCTTCCCCGGAGGTGATGGGCTGGTAGGGTTCTGAGGAAGAGGGCGGGAAGCCCGGATCGAGCCCTGGAAACGGGGGGCTGGTGACAGGCAGAAGGTGGGGCTGGAGGGCGGGGGGAGGGGCAGGGCACTGGGCTGCTCTGATTTCCTGTTTCTGACCTCACCCCGTCCAACTGCAGGCCTTAGGGACGAGTTACAACAGGACACTTCTCCGTGCTGAAGAGTGAGTCCTGAGCTGACCACGTGCGGGCCAGGGAGGGGAGAGCAGGGACCTCGCGGACACAGCACGGAGGCCAGCTGAGGAGAGACACAAGCCTGGGCGAGCCCAGGCCCCGCTGGCCCACACCGGCCCTTAAGACAGGAGGAGGAAAAGGCGCCTCTGCTCCATGACCTTTCACCTCTGTCGGTCAGAAAATATCACGATCAACCAGTGTGACAGAAAAGAGAGGCACTTTACGGCTTCTTTCCAATTATTCAGGGGATATCTAATCTTTCTGTTCTTAGATGACCTCCTACTGAGACACTAGCTACCTCCCCTTCCCATCTGCGCACGATTCCACGAATGGTGGCGATTTGGCCACAAGAGGAACTTAAGAAGCTCAGAGTAGGTGCTGAGGAGAGGCGCCAGCACAGCAGCCAGGCTGTCAGCGAAATCGGAGGAGGAAGAGGAGCGAGCCACGAAAACGAAACACGAATCACGAGCCCAGGGAGCAGAGCTGACCGGGCACCCGGGACAGCCCGGGGCACGTAAATAACACAGAGAACGCAGTTTAGACTCATTCGTCTCCAGACTGGTTTGGAATTTGTTATGGGTGTTCCGCGTTGAAGATGACGCTTCGGCTCCTGAGAACGCTTGTTCAGCTGGAGAAAGATCTGCTCGAAAGCTCTGGGCTCCCCTCTGGTCACCTTCCTGCCAATCAACTACAGAGCCGTCTCTGAGCAAAGCAGGCTTCCTGGCATCCAGGGCACCCATTCACTCCCACATCTTAACGTTCCTACTGGTGCTGGTTTCTCCCCTCAAAAGCTGGACCAACTCACAACCAGCCGTGTCTCAGAAATACACTGACTGAAGCTGTCTCAGTGTGCCGGGTGGCTGATCAATAAAAATCCAGGGTGAGTCTCAGGATCCGTCTCCCAAAGGTCCACTGTTAACTGCCACTACCCTAAGTGGCCCCAGATAACCCTCCAGCTTCTAAAAGCTCTTGTGTCTGTTTAACATATAGTTTACCTGTCTCACCTTCCTGCCTCACCTGTGGGCTGTCCTCCAGCAAACCCTGCCACTGTATCCAAATGGAAACCAAAGAAGTGAGCTGGCTAGGACTGTGTGTCAAGCAGTTGGAACGCCGCTCTGAATGGCACCTGGGGGTGAATCGAGGACACTCCTCACTTGAGGCAGGACTTTGCTGTCCTCGAGTTTGGCTCTGAGACATGGGAGGCTGCTGCCCAGGGGACAGACAGGGTGGTCTCTGTGTGAAACATGCTAACACCCCAGCAAAGAGCCGGCTCCAGAGAAAGGGGAGGCAGCAACCCAGAGCAGTCCCCGCGCACACGACTCCCCAGCGACTGCCGTTGGCTTGATTTTTTTCCCTTTAACGAGAGAGAACATTTCAAACTACCTGAATTACAGTGCAAACACATGGCAGATAAAATAAAAGAGTTGGTGGCCCACAGAAACAAACCGTTTCCTTGTGCACGCAGCAAAGGAGAATAGCCTTCTATAACCGACAGGGCTGGTGGACGTTTCGTCTTTTTACTGGTCAATTGTCACCCTCTGGCTGCGGGTTAAAGCTGACTTCCTCACGTGGAAACGGGTCTTTGTTTGGTGCCCTGAATCCCACCCGATCTGGACTTCTGCATAAAATCAGCATATTTCTGTTAAATTTCTATGTGGAGATGCCGAAGCCCAGGGAGGGGTAGTAAGTCGGATAACAGCTCCCGCCAGAGACATCAGGAATAGCGAGCTGTGTTTGGGGCCCACAAGTCCCAGGGCCAATCCGCACAGCAGGAGCAGAGCTGGAGCTGGTGCCCTCAGGAAGAAAAAGGAGGAGAAACAGAGAGGCCAGGGGAACGGGCAGCCTGGGGATGGGACGGCGAGGATGAAGGGCTGTCCCCGCGCACGGGGAGCAGGGAGTGCGTCCTTTCCGGGAGTGGGACTTCCCACCGTGTCGGCCTCTCCTAGACAGTGAGCAGGCTTCT